TAAATAAATAATTATTACTTAAATATTATAAATAAACATAAAAATCATCTTATTCAATTTCACCTTCAAGTTTTACCTTATAAATTTTGTTATAATTTAGTATTTAAATTTAAAATATATCTAAAAGTAAAAAAAATTCAAAATTCATATTTTACTCTTATTTATCTATCTTTTTTACATTTTGTTATATTTATATCTTTTAAAAATTCTAAATTTTGGTTAACTATAATCACTATTAAAGTTGAGATAAGCATTCAATATTAATTTAGTTAACATCAATAACCAAAATATTAAAATTGATTATTTTAGTTATCAAACCAAAAATCCATAAATTATTGTGGTTTGGTTATGATTAATAAAAGTAAAAAATAAAAAATAAATAATAAATAATAAATAATTCAAATATTAATTTGAGTTAAACTAAAACCGAACTCGATGCCTAACCCTAACTGCAGCACAGGATAAAAAATAAGAAATCCATGAATTTTGGACAAAAAGGGGAAATCCATGAATTATTAACAAAAATACAAAAAATCTCAAAATCATGAATTTATGGTTTCCTGAAAAAAACGCAGATTTCCTTATCTTTCACCCTCCAAACATCTGCATCCATACCCACCAAGAAAAACAAAAAACCAAAAAGAGGGTCTTTTTAGTTTTTTCTTCTCCTTTGCTCTGCATCTCAAAACTGTGAAGTGTGAAGGCAAAGGTGGAATGAGTGAGGCTGTTGCTGGGTTTCTGGCTCCTTGCCAATGTAAGTACCTTTTCTGTGGATTTGATAGTTTCAGCAGAGGAAAATGGATGGTGAAGCTCAAGAAGCAAGAATTGCAATACCATGCAACCAGAAAACTGAAACCTTTATACCAGATTACCGTCAAGGCTGCCACTTACTCTTCAAGAATTGCCACTGACATTGCTCTCTATGAATCTCCTGGGGTATACCCACTAGCCCAATTCTTCATTCTTTCTCTAAATTAAATGAGTTTGCCGAACGAGTGTTTGATGATTTGTTGAATTGGGTCTGTGCAGGCTATGTTTGATCATTATTTGGAGAATAGACCCAGAGTTTTTGAAGCTGTGTTCCCAGAAAAGAGAAGGAGCCAACGAATTAATGAGGTATTAATTATTTTACTTTTCCAATATTAAGATCAAGAAGTATTTACATTTTAGTATTTTCAGAAGATTGATTATTTCTTTGATTATTTGGTCTCCATGAACTCTGTTATTGACCAAATGGCTTTGACCTGTGGGGGTGAAGACCAAAGTCATATGAAATGGAAGGGAGAATGAAGGGGAAAGTTAGCATATTTCTTCAAAGAATCTTTCTAGTAGGAAAAAGCTGGATTGTTAGGTCAAGTAGAGAGCCTGTTTGAGAGCATAAGTCATAATAATTCAACTTTCTGACTGAAATCCAAAAATGTTTTTGAAATAGACTTATGCCTGATGACACAATTTTGCTTACTAATTTCATGAAAAGAAAGGGGAGGGGTAATGAAAGGAAAAATAAAATTCCTTAGGCATTAAGGCAAGCCTATCTTACAAATTGAGTTGGAGAAAGATCTGAAACTAACATTAACATAGATTAATATTATTATTCCCAAACCTTGAACACGCTGTGCTGCTCTGATACATCAAGTCTGTAAAATGGGTAATCAAAACAGTGTTGAAACTAGAGAAAACTTGAGCTAATAGCTTCTGCAATTTGCCTGTCCAGATAATTCAGCTTACTTTTATGAGAGCAAAACATCTTTGTATTGGCTGGTAAGCAACAACCATATGTCCAATCATTATTGTTAATTACAAGGATGGAACTCAAAGAAGCATGCATTAATTTTATATATATATATTCTATTTGAAACCAAAGACCATGAGTAAAGGTTGGTCTGCCTTGTTATTCTTCCACAAGTATAAACTAATCTCATAAATGTTTGGATGTCATTTACCGATGCAGGAAGAATGGAGAGTTCAGATGTTACCCATAGATTTCTTGTTCTTAACAGTCTGGCCAGTAGTGGACATGAGGCTGAGATGCAAATCAAAAGGCATAGATTACCCACCAGAAATTCCTTGTGACATCACAAAGGTTCTTGAGCTTGACATTGTAAGCAGCAAAAAGACAAATTCTCAATTTAATGTATCTAAATCTATTCATGTTACTAAATACAAAAGCCCTGCTCCTGCAGACAAGATGGGAGCTCCAAGGGCTTGACAACTCTCTCAAGCCATCTGATTTCACACTGTGCGTCAAGGGAGTATTATACCCAGATAGAAGGGGAACAAGAAGTCGCCTCAAAGGTCAATTAGAGATGAGCATAAACTTTGTTCTTCCTCCTATGATTGCTTGGATTCCTGAAGATGTTCGACAAAACGTTGCAGACTCGGTGAGAGTATCAAAGCCCTTTTCCCATATTCATTTTCTCACCTTAATATTTTACTCTTAATTATTAACAGATATTGGGAAGATTGGTGGAGAACATGAAGCACAAAGTTAATGGTAGCTTGCTTGCAGACTATAGCAAATTCAAAAGGGAGAGGGCTAACAATCCTGTACAAGCTTACAGAGACAAAAAGTGGTAATTCTCGAGCGTATACTACTTCTTGGGGCTATCTAGCCTTTGCATGGTGCTTCAGTATGGTGAAAATTAAGAATGGTTCCACACTATTGGCTTGTTTATTTTATGAAGCAATCTAAAATCTAGATCCGCCTTCTTTTGGTCCCCAAGTTTTCAATGAATTATCGAGAAAGTCCCATGGCTTTTTGGTTCATTTATAAGGGTTGAACTTCAAATTTATAAAATTAGATAAATATAATTTAAAAAATAAAAATAAAACTTGGCACATTTCCAATCCTCTTGACGTTCGGGAATTGAAAAAGGTTGAGTTATTTCAATCGTTTTATACTAGAATCATATTTAATTAAGAGGTTGTTGTCTTACAGTTCACTTTGTGACAGACTGAAAGATTAAGACTATCAAAAAAGGGAGATGTGGATCCAATATTAATGATCCATCTCTTTTGATGGTCTTGATCTTACAATCTGCTACAGGACAGACTGTAAAACAATTTTTCCTTTAATTAATTGGTAATTTCAATTAATCATCAACAGAATAAAACATGGACTTATATGATCAAATAAAGAAGTTTGAAGGCTTATTGACCAACAGAAATCAATAGGGGCACCAAAAAATGGAGCTCTCACATAAAAACGTTAAAAAATGAAAAATGGAGATGCGGGGGATCGAACCCCGTGCCTCTCGCATGCAAAGCGAGCGCTCTACCATTTGAGCTACATCCCCAATGCTACTTTTTGTCATAAACATTCATTTAAGATTCTATTTAGATGCCAAAATTTTCTCCCGCAAGCCTGGTTCAGCAAGACGATATTTGCTGCCTAAACTCCGTAAAGCAGCCTCAAACCACTAAAAAGTTCATCCGAACTCGTAAGAAATCCATGAGACAATAATTGACATTCAACCCAAAGTCATAAATGATATCAGGCAAACTTTGTCCAGCATTAAATCAATACAACACATGTGAAGATTTGACCACATCTTTCTTGTTGATCCCTTACTCCTTGGCCTCCAGAGGGGTGTAGTTGACCTTAGACATGAAGCTGAATCTTCATAAGTTGATAATTACCCTGCCGATACACTTTGTTAACGCTAGAACAGGGAAGAATGTTATCATCAAGGTCTCAAGGTCTCTATCTTTCTTGCCCCAACAAGCAGACATCCTTGTGGTCCTGAAGCAAGACTTTCAAATGTCTGATCCTTTCCAGGAACAATATCCGGTCTAAAATAATTCACAATCGTCATTCATCGAAATGAAGCATCCCTAAGATGGGCCTACACAATCATCAAATACAACATAGAATTAGCTTGAAGATTAAGTCACAAGTTTCAACTCAGGTGGTTAGAAACATACAACATAGGTATAACCTAGCGATTACAACTAATGACAGAGAGGAAAAGTTCTTTATGAATTAGGCACAAATGAATAGAGAAACAAACAGATAGTTTATAATTAATAAGGCATGTCTAGAAATCATCATTGATTGAAAACTTATACACATTCTGCATCTTGTAAGCGTGAAATGATTGAAAACTTCTATATATTTATGGCTGCCAAAATGACAATTCAAAGTCACACCCTAAATCTTTCAAAAATGGAATAATCTCAATAGAATATGCAATTATACTTTTATCTGATGACTAATGAGTCAACATTGCATTTTAACGAATAGTCTAGGGAATAATTGATTGCATTTTGAAAGTGTAAAGATCAATCACAAATTTCCATGGCATACCTGTTCGGTGAGAAATCCAAGCTTCTTTGATCTTCTATCCAAGGGCAGGCAACAGATAATATTAAAGCGAGTCCTGTCCTTCAATTGTAAAGCATTAATTTTTTTTTTTTTCTGGACCATGTTTAAGCATTAAATTGATACAAGCTAAGTAACATAAATATTTAACCATATGCACTTTAAAATATAGCACATATACAATTAAATTGAGCATATTTAAAAAGAGCCTTAAAACTTGGCAATTATCAAAAAGGATATTGACTTGCTGCTTTAATTGCTGAAAATAATGTACAACCTGGTTCTCTACAAGTTTGATGCTGTCATGGTCACCAATAATCAGAACAAGAACATGACCCTTCCTTGAAATGATGAAATCGGTTGCGATCTCTAATGGAGATTTCTCGATTGTATATCTTTGAAACAAGTTTAATGGCTGAATGGCAATCTGGGCAGATACGTAGATTTTTGAAAATATAGAGTGGCGTGCCCGCTCTTGTGCTTATAAGACCAAAGCATACTGCTAGCTTCTCACTGTGCGAGAACAATGCTAGCTCCTTCTCCTCCATCTTGCCTGTATCACCCTCTACCCCATCAGACCCAGCAAACACTTGTGATGTAGTATTGGGAGCATAACCAGCCAATCGCAACCTTTGAACCATATCATCTAGCATGAGGTAAATCTCCCGGGTTCTTGGATGAGACTTGTCTCCTGCACTGAACTGATGAACCTTACCACCAATGTGAATAGAACTCATTCCAGGAACTTTTCTGATTCCTCTAGTTTTAAGAGTCTTCCGGAGGGCATTGGCCTTGTCACTCTGTCCAGCCAAAGAGTACATATTAGATAGTAGAATTTGATATCCTATATTATGGGGATCCATCTGAATCAGCTGTTGCAGAACACGTTCTCCCAGTTCTATCTTCCCATGGACACTGCAAGAACCCAAAAGAGAACCCAAAACAACCTCATTTGGAGGAATTGGCATTTTCTTGATTAAATTTTCAGCTTCCTCCAAACGACCAGCCCTGCCTAGAAGATCCACCATACAAGCATAGTGTTCAATCTTAGGGGCTATGCCATACACAGGTTCAAGGCTATCAAAATAGTGGCAACCCTGATCTACCAGACCTGAGTGACTGCAGGCGCTTAGAACAGCCATGAAGGTTAAATTATCAGGGTTGACTTCTTCAGTCATCCTTGGGAACATATCCACTAAGAGCCTACCTCGTCCGTGCATAGCTAGCCCATTAAACATAGCATTCCAAGTCACTACATTCCTTTGTGGCATTGAGTTAAAGACCCGTGTTGCTGTATCTATCCTCCCAGATTTTGCATACATATCAAGCAAGGCCGTCGCCACCATGATACCCATCTCCATCTCCATCATCTTCAGACGGTAAACATGAACCCACCTCCCCATCGCCATGTCCCCTGACTGGGCACATGCTGACAGAAATGAACAAAGCGTTGCATAATTCAATATAAACCCGCAATTGAACACCATCTCACGTAATAGGACAAAGGCCTCCTTGCCGAATCCACTTCCCACATAACCCACAATCATAACAGTCCAGGCTACTTCATTCCTCTCCGGCATTTCATCAAACACAACTCTCCCTTTCCCCACACCTTCCCACTTCACCGTGGCGTCCAAAAGCACTGTCCACGAGACCACAGTCCTTTCCTTCATCTCGCTAAAAACTCGTCTCAGTTTATCTACCATCCCACGCTTCCCGTACATATCCATCAATGCATTACAAACCTTGACCCACCCCCCCATCCCCATCTTCACGATATACCCTTGGCCCTGACTCCCCATGCAATCATCCTGCAACTGAACGCAGGCACTAAAGAAGCAGACCATGGCCACCTCATCGATTTCCGTGCCTTGTGCAAGCATTCGGGCAAACAGACGTAGCGATTCAACGGGCAAATTTTGGCGGGAAAAAGAGGACATGAGGGCTGTCCCGTCTCTGGCATCCTTGTGTGAGTGGGGAATTCCGTCGAACAGTTTGCGGGCAGAGGGTATATCCCCACATGTAGCGTAGAAGTGTAGGAGGGCGTTGAGAAGGGACTCTTGGGTTGCGGTGAGGCCTGTGGTGAGGATTAAGGCGTGGAGTTGTTTGCCGACAGGGAGAGAAGATCGTTCGGCACATAAGCGGAGGAAGGGACGGACGCGGCGGAAAATAGATGAAGGAATGCTCGGAGAATTAACCATGTCATTTATGTATCCAGGTTCGTAATTCATCAACCCGACCAGCTCTATTGGTGTTCAAGTAAAACGGAAAACGACCCATGACTGAGGAGACGGAGAAGGTTTTAGGAAAGGCGTGTATTATTTCCTTCGTTTAACAGAGGCAGTTTATTATTTGTGCCAAAAAAATAGTTTATTATTTGTGCCAAAAAAATAAAAAGAAGCAGGATCATGGTAGTACTATTATTTTTCCTTGTTTGAAGAGTAGAGGTAAATAATAAAACAGAAGCTAAAGAGCTCAAGGGAGATCTTTTTCCAGTTGAAGTGAATTATTTTAAACTTGAGTTGAATAGCATGCGGCTTAGGGCTTAGGCGGTTTAAGGGAGATGACTGCCAAATAATAATAAAGCATAAGCCAGTGGAAACAGAAAAAGAAACATTGGAATTTTTAAAATGCTTGACATAAGGGAAAATGCATCAGATCACAAATATATGACGTTTCTTAAAAATAACTCCATAATATAGGATCAAGACATAAAATCCCATGTCCATAAATAAGAAAAAGAAAGAAAAAAAAAAGAAAGAAAGAAAGAAAAAAGAAAGAAAGAGAGAAGCATGTTTGATTAGCATTCATGACAAACTCACTCCATAGACATAGAAATATGTATCTCAAAACAAACCCACAAACCCAAAGAGTTGAGGATGTATCCAATGTCTATTTAGAAAGTTTGAAGTACAAGACCAAGATGATTGCAAGCACAAGGACTGCAACAACGATGCCAATAATCCACTTGTTTCTGTTCATTCTCCTTGACATGGCGGTCAAAACTTTCTTACTCTTGCCAACGTTATCATCTACTCCATGTAGCTGTATCAGCAGACAAATATTACTTAGCACATCAGGTATGCTTAAAACAAAATAATATAGAGGCAATGATAAGATTTGGATTTGATACTTTGCATTGATGCAGTAGACCTCCCATGATAACAAAGGGAATTTATGGCAGCTAACCACAGCAATTCAGAATAGCACAACACAAGAATAACATGCAAGATTTACATTTAAGGATTTGTTAAAGAGAGTCAGCACCGAGTGCATCTAACAGAGAAGAATAAAGAATCAAAAAGGCAAACAGCTTGTAGTCAACAAAAGTAGATCATAAGGACTAGAAACTTAATTGAGACAAGAACCTACTGTGCCATGGGCATGTAAGAGAGACTGTCGCTGTGAATGCAAGTCTTGAAGAATTGAAACACCAAGCTCTTCTGTTTCCAGCATTGTTCTCCTGCTATCCTTGATTCTGTCACTTGACTGATTCAACCTTTCAGTAGACATCATCAGCCTTGATCTTTGATCAGCAGATGCCTGTTACATTTTCGTAAAGTATAACTGTGTAAGTATCAATAATTGCCAAACACATTTGAGATGATAACAAATAATAATAGCAGGAGTTTGACAAGTAAGAGCCATAGAATGTGAGCCCAAAAGAAAAAGGAGAACCATAGAATATAGAGCCCTATAGTGTTTCCAGTGGATCATTTGAATCAGAATTGAAGGGTAAAAACTGTGCATATGATAAAAATACTGTCTAAACCAAACTGTCAAGAAGATTATAATTCTTTTTGGTACCTAAGGATAGGAAAAGCAGACTATAAAGGAATGCATAATAGTTATATCAACCAAATACAATAAAATTTTCAAGGAACCATGAAGATAATAAGAAATTGAATTGTTATTTAACGACTAATAATGACATTATACAACCACAAGCATGCTTGGATTAGATAGGATCAGTACATACTGTGAGTGTGTCAGCCATTCCAGATTCTAACAACTGATCGCGAGCAGACGGATTTAAGTTGCCAGATGCAATTCTTTTGACTTCACTTTTAAGGTTATTGAGATCTGATTTATATTCCCTTAACTTAGCAAGAAGTACAGCCTTAGCATTTGGCTGTAAACTTCTCGCCTCAAGGTCCATTTTCCGAATCTGGAAAAATATGAACATCATCACATTCAAAGGAAATCTAGAGAAAGCAGTATTCTCAACAACAATAAGCCAAGCAGTTACCAAAGACTCTGCATCATCTAAGCCAGCTTTTATTTCAGAAAGTTTTTGCTTCTTTTGCTCTGCAAATCAGAACAATAAACTAGATTGAGATCAATATCCTCCTCATTTTCGCATCAAAAATTGAAACGAACTAGCTAAAAGCATAATTCCATCCCTAGTCTCCAATTTTTTTCCATTCTTGAAATTGAATCAGATCAACATCTCAGAAATCCCCAAACAACAAAACAAATAGAAGAAAATTGATTAAAAATTGAAAAAAATTCGAAGGCGATTTCAGGAATATTTCACCTCCATCAAGAGCACCAGCTGCCGTACACTTCCTCGACAGATTCGCCGAGAGCTCGCAGTACTGACGCTCGTATCCTTCGAATACTTCGCTCATCTTCCCCCCAAATCACAATCTGTTTCAAACACCTAACACCACAAATCAACTTCAGATAAATTAGATCGAAACCAAGAAATTAAACACGCGATTCAGTAGCCACATCGATTATCGAATCAGTTTCAGAATTGAGAAAACCTGAGATGATGATGATGATGATGAAGAAGGCGATCCGGAATAACCTGGCTAAAAGAAGAAGGGAGGACTCGGTCCGTGCGTTTATTATTGTATTGTATCTTTATTTTACGAAAAACTGATTTTGCAGTTTATTTTATTTTATTTTATTTTTTTGCTAAAAGGCCACCAAACGATAATGCTTTGTGGGAAAGAGTCCGTCCAGCGTTAAGGATCAATGGAGGATGATGAATGCAAGAGGTGGGTGGGTGGGGTATGGTTTTAGGAGGTTTGCTTAAGTCTGTGATTGACAGCTGTCAAACTGTGGGGCAATTTGTTTCATTTTCGTGTACACCGTTGCGTAACTTTTAAAATTTAAGGACAGTCTCGTAAAGAACTTTTTTGGATTAACTTTATAAATAAGTTTTATATGTTATTTGTCATTAAATTAATAAATATAT